GGGCAGTTGACAACGGAAGGAAAGAGATCTCCGACGAAGATTCAGGCGAGGGCTCTCTTGAGAAAGTTCGGAATGACGAAATGAGAAGAGAAGAGAAGAGAGGAAGCCCGTTTATATATAGTACCAATCCCATCATTGGGCGCGAAGCACGAAAAGACGCATTTAATGCGCACGACGTCCTAAGCAGGGGAAAACGGCTAGATGCAATGATGAAGCAGTTGGGGTTGTTGTAAAACCCTTCGTCTCCTTACAACGCGTGTCCTCGGCGTCAGAAGATCAAAGACTGGGGGGCAGTTGATGGGACATTTCTGAAATGCTCCAAGATGAAGACACGTGTCCTCGGTTCACAAGTCTCTTTCTCCCGAGGAACTTTGTCATAGGGATCAAGTGACATCCAGTACGTTTACGAACCAACACGTATCCCTCGGTCTGATATGGGTACATCGGTCGCTATATGCACCTCACCTCGGCTCCGAGATGAACTTTCCCCTCGGGTTCGAGATGTATCTCTGTCTAGGGTGCGTTCTCTGCTCCTACAGAAGCTATTGATGTACAAGTCACTAGCATAGGCTAGGCTAGGTTAGCTATCATGACCTCGTCTTACACAATTGGTGTCAGAAGGCACAGGAAGACAGGGGCCACAGCCAATGGGGAATGGACGCGTGACATATTGTGTCACATCAAAAACAGAAAAGACCGCATGCCCTTGCTGACACACGACTTGGGAAAGCAAGCATTTAATTACACCATTCCCTTGATGAGACTGCATTCAATGCGGAAAGGCTCGAAAGTGAAAGACAATAAATGTCTCTGAGGCTGGACATTTATTGCATCCTCCCCCGAGAGGAGCTCATTGGACAGTCGGCAGCCCGATGACACAGCATTGATTGCTCGGAATCCCGAGCAGTTAAAAGAGAAGACATTCCTCATCAGAATCAGTGCGCACATTGCCAGTACCTAATGATCACCTACTGACTACACTGACAGCAATCATGAGTTTTTGAGGTATAAATACTCCTCGCAAAAGGCAAGACAGGAGGCAACAAAAAACCTTTGCTACAAATTATACTCAGTGTTTTCTTTTTCCTCTCTCTCTTAAAAACTGACTTGATCGTCGGAGGGGATAGGCCGAAAAACACTCCGGCGCCCTTCTAACTTATTTTTCTTTGTTCCAGGAACCTTCCTCAGCCTTACTGGATCGTTCCGTTGATCCACGAGGGTCTCCCATTATCGTTCCAGGTTACCACCGGACCTCACAGGCTGTTCCAAGCAGCAGGGTTGACCACTCGATTAACTCACTCGAGTTCACCAAGGGAGAGATCTGTTCTCGTGTTTATATTGTGCAAGATCCAGCACGCACAGACCTTACATGTGTATTTGTTACGTGTGAAATATGGATATGGATAGAATTCATCTATTAATCCCATGTACTCAAAGGTGTGAGTTAGATTTAGAAGGGTCTGATAACACTAATCCAATCTCTCACCCCAAAATCATAAAAAAATATTAGGTGTAATCGTTATTANACATATTGTGTCACATCAAAAACAGAAAAGACCGCATGCCCTTGCTGACACACGACTTGGGAAAGCAAGCATTTAATTACACCATTCCCTTGATGAGACTGCATTCAATGCGGAAAGTCTCGGAAGTGAAAGACAATAAATGTCTCTGAGGCTGGACATTTATTGCATCCTCCCCCGAGAGGAGCTCATTGGACAGTTGGCAGCCCGATGACACAGCATTGATTGCTCGGAATCCCGAGCAGTTAAAAGAGAAGACATTCCTCATCAGAATCAGTGCGCACATTGCCAGTACCTAATGATCACCTACTGACTATACTGACAGCAATCATGAGTTTTTGAGGTATAAATACTCCTCGCAAAAGGCAAGATAGGAGGCAACAAAAAACTTTTGCTACAAATTATACTCAGTGTTTTCTTCTTCCTCTCTCTCTTAAAAACTGACTTGATCGTCGGAGGGAATAGGCCGGAAAACACTCCGGCACCCTTCTAACTTATTTTTCTTTGTTCCAGGAACCTTCCTCAGCCTTACTGGATCGTTCCGTTGATCCACGAGGGTCTCCCATTATCGTTCCAGGTTACCACCGGACCTCACAGGCTGTTCCAAGCAGCAGGGTTGACCACTCGATTAACTCACTCGAGTTCACCAAGGGAGAGATCTGTTCTCGTGTTTATATTGTGCAAGATCCAGCACGCACAGACCTTACATGTGTATTTGTTACGTGTGAAATATGGATATGGATAGAATTCATCTATTAATCCCATGTACTCAAAGGTGTGAGTTAGATTTAGAAGGGTCTGATAACACTAATCCAATCTCTCACCCCAAAATCATAAAAAAATATTAGGTGTAATCGTTATTAGCAGAATCACGTGGTGTAATCATCCATTAATAGATAAACAAGTTGGAAGGATGGAAAAAGTTGAATAAATTGTTATCAGCTTCAATGCTCCGATTTGTACGATGGAAAAATTAGATAAAATGTTATCAGCTTTAATGCTTCGTTTAGTATAATGAAAAAATGNAAAGGCTCGAAAGTGAAAGACAATAAATGTCTCTGAGGCTGGACATTTATTGCATCCTCCCCCGAGAGGAGCTCATTGGACAGTCGGCAGCCCGATGACACAGCATTGATTGCTCGGAATCCCGAGCAGTTAAAAGAGAAGACATTCCTCATCAGAATCAGTGCGCACACTGCCTGTACCTAATGATCACCTACTGACTACACTGACAGCAATCATGAGCTTTTGAGGTATAAATACTCCTCGCAAAAGGCAAGACAGGAGGCAACAAAAAACCTTTGCTACAAATTATACTCAGTGTTTTCTTTTTCCTCTCTCTCTTAAAAACTGACTTGATCGTCGGAGGGGATAGGCCGAAAAACACTCCGGCACCCTTCTAACTTATTTTTCTTTGTTCCAGGAACCTTCCTCAGCCTTACTGGATCGTTCCGTTGATCCACGAGGGTCTCCCATTATCGTTCCAGGTTACCACCGGACCTCACAGGCTGTTCCAAGCAGCAGGGTTGACCACTCGATTAACTCACTCGAGTTCACCAAGGGAGAGATCTGTTCTCGTGTTTATATTGTGCAAGATCCAGCACGCACAGACCTTACATGTGTATTTGTTACGTGTGAAATATGGATATGGATAGAATTCATCTATTAATCCCATGTACTCAAAGGTGTGAGTTGGATTTAGAAGGGTCTGATGTAACTAATCCAATCTCTCACCCCAAAATCATAAAAAAATATTAGGTGTAATCGTTATTAGCAGAATCACGTGGTGTAATCATCCATTAATAGATAGACAAGTTGGAAGGATGGAAAAAGTTGAATAAATTGTTATCAGCTTCAATGCTCCGATTTGTACGATGAAAAAATTAGATAAAATGTTATCAGCTTTAATGCTTCGTTTAGTATAATGAAAAAATGGAATAATAAAAAATTGGAAGGAAAAAAAGTTGAAGGGTAGATAAAATATCATATTTAGTAAAGAAGAAAAATAAGAAATATGAAAAAGTAGATGGATAAGGTTTCCTTCTAAATCACTAAAATCAATCCCTTAAAAATTGAAAAAAAAGTGAATGAAAAGTTATTTAATTATATTAAAATGTATTTTATTTGTCTACTAGTTATATCCTGTGTCTGAAGGCACAGAGTCATAAAATATGATAAATAATAAACATATTTGTATTCATTCAAAATTAAAACGCAAACATAAAGAAGAGATAAATGAATTTAAACATCGATTTGTAGTGGGGGCAATAGTGGTGGGCGACATAGGTGGTGGCGACGGCGGCATTGGTGGCTGTGGCGGTGACGGTGGTGGTGGCGGCAACAATGGTGATAGAGGTAGTGGTGGGGGTGGGGGTAGAGGTGATAAAGATAGTAGTGGAGCGGTTTCAAACACTAATTTTTTTTTAACATATTTATGAAAAATAATTTCTAAAAATACTTTTGAAAAGTCACTTTAAACACACCTTAGAGTCCTATTTTTCCTATTAAATTTAGGGTGTTAACATTAGCCGTTAGATTAACTTTAAAATAAAATTTAAAACGATCTCAACAGCGAATAGCAAAAGTCATTTTGTTTATTTTTTGAGATTTGAATTGTAAGTTACTTTATTATATACATATATCATTTGATATATACTTATATTATGTATATATAAATACAATACTTAAATATGTATTTATATATATTTTTAAAAAAATTAAAATTAAAAATTAAAATAAAAAAAAAAAACATTTTTTCTATCTTATCAAACACAAAATAATAATAATAATAATAAATAATTATTTTTATTTTCTATTCATCCTACCAAATACAATGGTATCATTCCTATTTTCTTTTCTTGAATGATAAAAAATGTATTTCTCTTATTTTTCATCTCTCTTATCAAACAAATCACTAAATAATTATACCGTATTAACAATGCTGACATGGTATCTCCTAATATTTACTTACAAAACCATGCAAACGTAGTGTTAAAGAATAATATTATCAAACGGTACGATCGATACTTTTTTGCATTATTCCTACGAGTAGTTGAAATACAGACATTTAAAAAAAGTAATGGGAAACTTGGTGAATCGCAATGGGAAGACAAGTGAAAGATTAAATTAACATGCTAGTGAATATTACGCAGATTACTTTCTTTTTTTTTTGTGGAAGATCAGTTTTTTTCTCATCATTTGATCGTGTCATTCTGTCATTTTTTCATTTGTCTAAGCATTATTTTTTCTGGTGACCTAATGTGGCTATGTGGACTTCCACGCATCGCCCACCACAGAAAATAAAGCCACTTGCTTTGTCAACAAACTATCTCAGCCACCGACTCAATTCCCCCAACGGGCCTCACTTTCATCCCCACCGTCCTCTTAGTCTCATCAAACTTTTCAAACTCACAAACGGTCAAAAAAGCTGTTTCATGAAGCTCACAGCGAACCTTACATGAACTCTCATGGAAACCCACGTTAAAACCCTCCATAAATATACCCAAACGCAGGCACAGATGACCAAGAAAACAGCAATATGGAAACCAGAAAACCGAAGAATCACCAAATGGGAGCTTCAAAGGCCAATATTCAGTGCAAGAAGCACCCAAAACACCGGCAATCGCCTGGTATTTGTTCAGTGTGTCTGAGAGAAAAGCTCTCTCAGTTATCCACAAGTTCACGTAGCAACACTGCTACGACAATCTCTTCCTGTTCTTCTTCGTCTTTGTCTTCCTTGTCATCTTCAAACGCTTCTTCTTACTCGTCTCCGGTGCATCGGAACCACCGTGTTGGTTTGGAAAGAAGAGGGTCAGTGGGGTTCACGATGAATGGCAGGAATGTGCTTTCCAAGAGTATGTCAATGGCGGCTTTCGTTCCGAGAAGACGAGAAGGAGAGCGTAGGGATCAGGTGAAGAAGAGCAGTTTTTGGTCGAAGTTTCTTCGTCCGAAAAATAAGGGAATGGATGAGTGTTTGATGCACTCGAGGACTATGAGAGAAAGGGTTATTACTAGGGTTCAATGATGGTGATTTCTTTTTTTTTTCCTAATTTTCTCTCATGGTTTTTTCTTTTATTTTCCTTCTATGTACACCCGAGGGTTGTCATGGATAGGTTTTAGAACGGACAGGAAAAAAAGAACAACATACATACATACAGTGTGCTTGTATATTGATTTATGTGTAATGATCTGTAACGGGATTGAGAAGAAGGGCTTCATATTGATTTCTTTTCACTGTGAATTGCTGATCTGTAATGCTTGTGCATGCAATTAACAACAGTGATGATAGTTGGATCCCCTTTGCTGATATAATCCCTACTAATATTCGATTAGTGATGAGTTTTAATATTAAGTGGGATTTATTACCAACCAATAAATTATGGAATTTTCCATTAACAAATCTACTCTCTCTCTCTCTCAGATTAGAACCCCCTCTCCATATTCTTCTAACTCTCACAATGATTGGTCGCTCACTGTTTGAGATAACCAATTCTATTTAAATTTACCATATAAAGGACCTAACTTTGGGGGAATTGAATTCGAACTAATATTGAAGTGGATTTGGATATCTATTTTTGGTTCGATTTCATTTTTGTTTTAAAAATAGTAATTTTAGATATAAGTGCTATAAAAAGATTTCTGTATGGAATTTTGTAAAGAGAACAATGTGGTCTACTAACATTAATATTCTTTCATTAATGAAGTATTATTCCAAATCAAAGTACCATTTTTTTATTGACATATCACTATGACGTTTTTTTTTATAAAACAAAAAAAATGTTATATTGTTCATAAAGCATTTTCCTCTTAGATTTTATGCAAATGTTATGCGAGTTATGTGATACTCGGACTAAATTTATATACCAAAGAAAAAATCCACTGTCATTATTGATTAGAGATGGAATTTAACAGTAGATGACGATTCTGTTGTCGATCCAACTATAACAAAGAATTTGATGCCGATAACATTATTGGTATTATGTAATTCGAAGGGAATATTAGACTTCCATAGCATTATTGATTTTAGGAAATTCGAATGGAATTTTATGAATCTTTTATCTTCTTACGTGATGGGACAAAAATTCTTCCGCATGTAACAGCGAAGAAATGCACTGGCGCTAGGTTGTCGGCGTGTTGGTGCAACGTGGGTACTAAGACCCACGCCATGGATTTTCTTTAACTATTTTAAAATTGACTTGGAGTGTTGGTTGGTTCGTGGAACGAACGTACTGCAATTTTTATACTCTCTTCTTTATAATATTCCTTTTTCGTGGAAAGTATGAAGTGAGTTAAAAAAAGCTTCACACACACAGCTGGATTATTTTCCACGCCCCTTCCTCGCATTTTCCTCTTAATTTACTTTCAAAACTCTGCGGAAAGAAAAAATTAAAAGTCGTAATGAAATTGTTTACCCTTCGTAGGTGGGAAGTTAGAAAAAGTTCAAACACGTGTATTTGTGAAAGAAAAATCGAAGGGAATGAGTAAAATAAATAGATGTGATAGAAGGGAATTCGAACAACCTATTAATGAAGAGATCAATCAATTGGATAGAGAGTAGGTGAATAGAGTGAAAATGCTTTTACCGGTCATAAATCTCTTGTCTCGTAGTGGACAAGTAATGCAGGTATTTATAACACAGTACTCGCCACAAGCCTTTAACACTTGTTCTAACTCACAATTGTCTCGATCACAGCGATACCAGTATCTACTAATCGCAAGTCATATGTCCCAACATTAACTAGACAAACTTGATATTTTCCCAAAACATAGTCTAGATGCAGTTCCAGGAGGTGCGACAACCGAGGCAAAAGGGAGCTTTCAAAGTTAATAATTAAGAATGGTTATTGCGGGACTATGACCTCGAGAGGGCTATGTACGCAATACCCCTAGCGTGCTACTATCCAGAGTCCTCCCTTCCCTCTCTGAACCCTTTGTCGAGGTGCTCGATAAAGGAAACCCACACAATTTCAGTTTTTCAGCCACCATTCCATATGTCTTATTATCACATATGTTGATCCGGACCAATAACCTCAGTTACTTTACAAGTTATTTCGAATCCCAGTAAATACACCCTAGTGGGCAATGAATTATACACTAAGAGACTTGTTCGAGTAGATTAAATTTTTTAGACCCTGTCTCAGACTGAGGTTGACAAGCTTGTTTATCCAATCCTTGTTGCTCAATTCTCCCTTGAGGAGGGATGTCTTGTCCTATCCCTGAGTGAGGATCCCTCCTCTTAGTCCAGGGGGTCAATCGAGCAACATTGTCCAATAGATTGACAATACCAATTTTGCTGACTGTGTAATCCCAGACTTGTGTTCTGTTTTTGCAGTGGGAGAGATAAGTCACACCAAGGTTGCACCCACACTTCCCGTGGTGCCATTCTGGTCCGTCCTCGGTCAAGGGTATGTTTTTGCCACTTTCAATGTTATAAGAATATGTCTTGCTTTTTTGTGACACTGGGCACTATTGCGGCNGAATACCAATTTTGCTGAATGTGTAATCCCAGACTTGTGTTCTGTTTTTGCAGTGGGAGAGATAAGTCACACCAAGGTTGCACCCACACTTCCGTGGTGCCATTCTGGTCCGTCCTCGGTCAAGGGTATGTTTTTGCCACTTTCAATGNCAATACCAATTTTGCTGACTGTGTAATCCCAGACTTGTGTTCTGTTTTTGCAGTGGGAGAGATAAGTCACACCAAGGTTGCACCCACACTTCCCGTGGTGCCATTCTGGTCCGTCCTCGGTCAAGGGTATGTTTTTGCCACTTTCAATGTTATAAGAATATGTCTTGCTTTTTTGTGACACTGGGCACTATTGCGGCACTGGATTGTTTATACCGATTCTGTTGAACTCTGTTAAGTCCCACTATTATTTCAACTGATAATTATTATTATTTGTCCTTCCACAGACGTATTCTAAATTTGTCGGGTACCACACCCTGACCCAATTTTCTTTATAAGCATCTTTTTGTGTATATAGCACGTCCCTTGAATTAAGAAAGTAGGACAATTTTTTTTCCCCATGTTTCATGTAGTAAGGGTGTCGGGTACCACACCCTTACCCAGTTTAAGTTACGTTGTATTGCATTGTTGGTTGTGAAAAATTCACGAATCTTGTTATTTGGAGAAATGAGAAGTTCTACTCGGACTTAATCACTCTCTCTCTCTCCACCGGCCCTATTCATCACTCCCATCAACAACCACTCCACCAGCCGCTAGGGCCGACCCAGACTTTTTCTCCGGTAGGATAACTTAAATTATATTAATATTAAAATTTTAAACATTAAAAAAAATATAATTTTATTAATAGAACATTAATTAAAAGAACAATTCATATACATAAGTAATATATTAAAGGAGCCAAAAAAAAAAAGAGAACTCATTATAAATTTATCTATAAGATCTAACAAAAAAATTTGAACCAAAAAATTGGAATCAGTCATATTTTAATTTTTTTTTAAAAAAAAAATTTCATAACTGATTCAAATATTAATTTGTTTAGTTTCAAACTCAATATTCATCCTTGAATTTTAATAAATAATTGAAACTAACTTAAACTATGACTATTTAGTTAAATAAAACCTAGGAATAAGAACTACTTAACTTATCCCAATAAAATTATTCAAACCTCAAAATCAAAATAATTTAGTCTAACTATAATAGAAGACTACAAGTAGCAATTCAAATTCAACACATAAATATAAAACACTAGAGAAGACTACAAGGCCAAATATCAATTAAATATATAAAAAAATAAATCATAGAAGAGGACTACAAGCTTCAAATTTTATTTCAATATAAAAAAATAAATATAGGACTACAAACTCTAGTTTTAATTCAATACATTAAAAATAAAACAAAAGAGAGGACTATAAGCCCTAATTTCATATTTTCAATTCAGCATGTAACGAATAAAATACAACAGAGGGCTTGTTCATATTTTCAATTAAACACCTAACGAATAAAATATAATAGAGGGCTACAAGCCCTAATTTTAATTCAACATGTAAAAAATAAACCACAAGAAATGACTACAAGTCTAAATTTTAAATTCTAACATATAAACATAATACAATTGAGAGGACTACAAACCCCGAATTTAGTTCAATGTATAAATATAAAAATTAGGAGATGGCTAATCTATTTCGCAGCATATTAGTTAATCTTTAAATTCTCACATTTACAAGTGAAACTCATATATTTATCAAAATAACGTAACTACCTTTAACTTTAAAAAAAAATCAGGAAGATTTCTAATAAATTCTAAAATTCTAAAATTTTAAAATTCTAGTGGGAGCAGTTGGCCCCGCTGTGGATCCGCCACTAACACTTCGTCTCCACTTTCCCAAATCCTAAATTTTTAATCGATAGGTATATTGCACGTGTCAAGTGAACTTATTTTGGTATGTGAAAGTTTTTTTGTAAAAAAAAAATCAACTATGTAAAAGTTTAAGTTTTATTTGTACTTATTTTGAAGCCCAAATATGTTGGATCAATAGTAAATTTTATTTAAAGTTAACATTTACTACTAATTCAATGGCAAAAATGCATTAAATATTTAAATTATATCCCAAAATTTAGATTGTATAACATTGTTTAAAAGTTTATTTTGGGACCCCAATTTTTTTTCTAATTTCGGAACCCTAGGGAATGACATATAGGTTGGGGCAGCATTGTCATTGCGTAAGTTCAAACCTCGCCATCCTCTTATCTAATAGTGTTGACTAAAAAAAAAAGAAAAAACTCTCCCAAACAGTGGAAGAAGAAAACCCATAAGCTTGGAATGGCTGAAGTCAGGCCCATTTAGGTCCTGAATAACAGACCAAACTGCAATAAGCCTTGCAATGGGTTTTGTGGTGGCCAAAATTTTGATGGTTTAAGCCTGCTATAGGACTGGGCTAAGTCCAAAACACTACACCTATGATAAGAAATTAACAGCAAAGGCCATATAGATTGAAGTGGCCCGGAGAAAAAGAAATATTTATTTAAATTCATTTTGTTTGGACAATGGATTATATGTATTGAACGATAGACGTATACGAAAATATCCGTATAAACCTGTGCAAAAATGGGGACAAGAATGAACTGAAACTCATTCATGCCCTTCCCTTCCCTTAATATATATATATAAGTGAAACACACATTTGTTATACATATTATTTTTGTGAGTTTTTATGTTTGATCCATTTGTTATATAATGAGTTTTCATCTCTTTTGTCCATCAATTTGTGAAGTTTTATAGTTTTTTTTTAAAATTTTTTTCTTAAAATTATATAAATTAATTGTTATGTACAAGGACGGTGGTGGGAATGAGAATCAAAATTTATCTGTGGGTTGGGGATTAAAATTTCCCCTACTAACGAGGGTGGACGAATATTTTTAAA